AGGGAAACAAGAGGATGGTTTCCCAAGTGGGTAAAGTCAAATAAATAGTAAAGATAATTATTGCAGATAATTTTGTCAAATATTCTACTTTTGAGGAAAGAATACTTTTTTGTTTGAATTATNAGGGAAACAAGAGGATGGTTTCCCAAGTGGGTAAAGTCAAATAAATAGTAAAGATAATTATGCAGATAATTTTGTCAAATATTCTACTTTTGAGGAAAGAATACTTTTTTGTTTGAATTACATGATTTTCTTTGCATGTCTTTTAATTGTGAATTCTGACTTAAATCTTAATATATAACCTTAAGCTTTAAATGCATCAAAAATGTGGTTAATTCTTATTTTTTACGACAAAGTCAATACAGAGAAATTAACTGAATCACTTAAGAGGAAATATGAACTAGGTAGTCCTTTTTTTATTCTATCTTAAAGACTAAATCAGATTGACAATAATTTAATTGACTAAAAGTGCCCAGTTAGGTTAACTACACAGAGTTGGCCATGTCTAAGATTCTAACTGAGGTTCAAAAGTAGAGATTTTTCAATACTTTTAAAAAGTACTCAATCCAGAGTTATTGTAATCCAGTCCCAAAATAAATTGATCTCATTTACTAAATCATATGTAGTTAAACTTTCCTTGTACCTATTAAGATGCTCTTATAACAAGGTAGATTTTGAATAAGCAATCATGACCTTGCACAAGAATAATACCTATCATTTACATAACACCTACTATGTGCCAGACACTGTGATAACTACTTTCCAAATATTTAATTTGATCCTCACAACAATCCTTGTTCATTCTACTCTATGGGAACCTAAATATACTGGGCCAATTAAGTTGTTATTCTTAGCTGCTTTCCACATAACACTGTGGTTACCAGTCTCCTTTAATAGAATCTTTCAAGAATCTACAAATTAGCTGAAACTCAACTGTAGTATGGTCTCATATGTGAACAGTATTGAAGTTGAATGTAAAATATTCAGGAGAAACGATCACAGAAATGGTCACAGGATTTAGAGCTGGTCAGGACCTTACGGATTCTTTACTTCTCTTCCCTCATTTTACAGATGAGAATCCTCTGGCAGTACCAAGGTCAAAAGAGACCTTGATAAAAAAATAAAAATAAAAGGAGTAGGTATTATAAAAAGAAAATTCATTCTGTGGAATTTAATGAAATTGTGTATGAAACATGCCATAATAAATATAAAAATCAGAGTTAAAATGGGAAGAAACTAGGAAACATAGATAGGCCATTTGTGCTAATGCTTCAATGGCCAGTGAAACAGTTAACTAGCATTTACTAAGTACTTAACGTGTACCAGGTACTGGGCTAAGTGCTGGGGATGCAAAGAGAGACAAAATATAGTCCTTGTTTTCAAAGAGCACATATTTGAATGGAGGAGACAACACATAAATATCTTGTTGCGTGTGCGTATACATACACACACACACACA